TGCCTCAGACTCGGATTTCTCTTTTCTGACCATAGCCTTGGCTGTGGCTCTTCCTCCTGTTCGTCAAGGTGATTCTTGCAGCCCATTACAATTCCTGTTTTTCCTGCAGGAGGTAGCCTCCCCGCCCCCTAGTTTGCACCCACAATAACAACCCCACAAGGTAGGCTGGGGGCTCTATGCCAGGGTGGGAGACGCAGTGGGGTCTGCCCAGTTCCTGTCCACTGCTGTATCTTCTGCACTGCACGGCCCTTTTGTCTTCTGCAGGTCCTCCTGGCAGAGTCGAAGACTACCGAGATGCCGGCGAACCAGGAGAGCCAGGAATACCAGGTTTCCCAGGGAAATTTGGACCCAGGGGCCCCCCTGGAGCCAAAGGTCCTCCTGGAGCACCGGGCCCCCAGGGCCCCAAAGGCGAGTCCGGGGACTCCAAGGCTTCCCACAAGTCTGGTTTCTCGGCCATACGGGGGGTCACTTTTACCCCTCGGCGGGGTCAACCGGTCCGCTTTGACCGGGTCGTCACCAACATCGGCAACCACTACAGCAATCGCTACGGCCAGTTCACCTGCCAGATTCCCGGGATCTACTACTTTACCTACCACATCACCTCGCGGGGCAACCTGTGTCTCCAGCTGAAGAAGGGCCGAGGCAGCGCCGCGGGCGAGACCGTTGTGACCTTCTGCGACTACGTCTTCAACACCTTCCAAGTGACCACCGGCGGGGTGGTGCTGCGTTTGACCCAGGGCGAGATCGTGTGGCTGGAACCGACGGAGAAGAACTCCTTGCTGGGGGGCATTGAAGGTGCGGACAGCATCTTCTCCGGATTCCTGCTGTTCCCGGGGAACTAGGCGGGCCTCAGAACACGGGTCCTCCTTGGGGTCCGCCTCTGGTGCCCCCAAAGTGGGCAACGCTGTTGGCCTGCCAGTTGCATCTCCTTCTGCCTCCCTCCCTCTGCACAGCCACCCTCAATGCTTGTCACCCACCCTTTTTTTCCCCCCAAGGGGGGAGGAAACCCACCAACCTTGAGGTCTCTGTAGTATTTGCAAACAAATGAATAAATGATCATCTACAAAGCGTTTCCGGAATTCACGGGGTTGAATCCAACAGGGGTTTCTCGTCGGCAGCTTGGTTTACGAAGACGAGGACGTGAGAAAGACTTTTTGAAGAGTTTGAGAGGCAACGACTGCTTTGGGGTGATTAAGTCAGGCAAGTCCCAAGCGCCCATAGTATTTTTCAGAAGCCAGCTCCACCCAACACGCGCTCGCGTTCACGCAATTATTTGAATGCGGAGTCTTCTTTTACAGAGGAAAGCCATTAAGCGGTATTTTTCCCTAGCTGAGTATGAATGCTTGATCAAACTAAAGATTTGATAGCTGCTTTTCTAAAAGTGGCCTAACCAGCTGCTTCTCAGAAGTCCAATGCCATCCTTGTTACCAATCCCAAGGTAGACTGCTCCTGTCCATGGAGTCTCTATGCCTCACTCTTTTGGCTAATCAATACATCCCACAAAGGCATCTTATTTCTCAGATATTGACCCACCAGCCATCTCTGAGGAACCCACCAGCAGGTGGAGAACTCGTCTTGTTGTCATGCTGAAATTCACTTGCACGCTGAATCTGGAAGCGCTGCAAAACTTCAGCATCGCTAGAAGCCACCGATAAATCCAGTGCTTCTACACTGGTGCAATTTTCCCCATGCAAGCCAGCTTTGTTCGAGTTGCACCTCTGCATCAGAGGCCACAATCCTGCACTCAAGACAAGCCCTGGGCAATTTATCTTAAAACACTGCAGAGATGCACAAGTTTGGATTCGAGTTTCATAACTGGGGCTCCTCTCCCCAGGCAGACCCAGAAGTATGAAAACACACACACACACCCCACCATGCCAGCTTTGCACAAGTCAGCCGGGGTGGGGGGACTACCAAAACAATAAGCATTTTTAAAAAATCAATCATACGCGTCCAGCATTCAGGTAACCCACCAGTGGCCAGCAGAGGGCACTAGAAACTCAAGGATTGATACCCAAAGATCACACTTGACAGCAAAGAATTTGGAAAGGGAAGAAGCTTTTGTGTTGTGGGGGGAGAGGAAGGGGGCATATTTCTGAGGAAATTCCAAAGGGGGGGTTGCAGCGGGACACGTTTGGGCCTGAATAACCCTGCATACCTTCCATGGTTTCAAAATACGGCAGGACGGTCCTGCAACTTCTGCAAATCCCATCCGTTTATGGTTGAATAGGATGCCTTGAGAAAGGAGGGGCAGACTAGATGATCTCTGAGTGACTGAGCTTTGGAGTCCCACTTGGGGGAAAGAAAAAAGAAGGCGCCTTACTTTGCTGAAAGAAAGGAGAAGAAGGCCTTCTCTTCTGCCCATGGAATGCTTTGGCTGACAGCTCCCATCATCCCCGGCCGGTGGCCAGTTTGGCTGGAGGGGGCGGGATTTTTAAGTCAACAATATAGAAAGCCAGAGATGTACAGCTTTTAGGGCCCTGGAATTCGACGCCAAAATTTACCCTCAGGCATGGAAGCTCACTTGATGATTGTGGGCCCTTCCTGGCCTACCTCACAGGGCTGTTCTTGTGCCTTGAAGGGCAGAAAAATGTCCCGCAGGGTTAGGGAAGTCCATATAGCCAAGAAGCTCCATTTTTTTCTGGCCTACTGGTGACATTAAATCTTTTTTTTTTTTTAACGTTTTGCACTGTGCTTTCCTGCGTGGGGAGGCTAAGGGCCATGAGGACCATCCAAGGGTGCCTGAATTTCTCCCTGCATCCCTCCCCACTGCCCCCCGTCTGCCTTGCGCTTCCCAACAGAATGAAGGGTCCCTCGAGAGATGGGGGGGATTTCGCTCTTGCCTGTCTGTTCAAAGACAAGCCGTGCAGAGGCCGAACCCGCGCTGATCTGCCCCCCCTTTGTGGCCAGGCATGGAGGCCGGGATGGGGGTTAATTCCAGGGGCATCGCCCGCCCCCGGCTGGACCCCCGTCCCCACAAGACCCGCCGAGCGGCTCCTTTGTGAAAAGCTGGCTTTGTGGGTCTGAAGGAGCGTCGCGTCTCCAGGAATGAGCCAGCCTGGGTGTCCGAGATATTAGGTTCCCCCGAAAACATCTGTCCAGCCCAAAGCTGCTTGGCCTCCCTCAGCAGCCACAGGATTCATCTGCAGGCTGCCTCTTGGCTGGGAAGGGAGGGAGGGGAGG